TTCGCGAGGTGGTGAATGTGCATGGACTCTGTTAGCGTGCCAAAATGGGACATTTTGGGTATCCATTAGCCTCTCTCTAAGATAGTGGAGTTTGATTTGTATCAAATCCATCCATTCAATCCATCTACTAAAACGGTCTTAGAGAGTGGTATAAGATAAATAATTAGAGCACTTCTACTATGCTATATAGAATTGGTGCTTTAATGTACAACTCAAAGTTGTACCATAACATTAAATGTATAAGTTTAGGTTGTACCATAAAGCAATTTGTACCATTATGTTATGGTACAACTTTACAACTTGAAGTTGTACCATCACATAAATGTACAAGTTCAAGTTGTACCATAAAAGAATTTGTATAAAAAGTATAGGTACAATCTAAAGTTGTACCATAACGTAAATGTACAATTTTAACCTGTACCATAAAGGCAAAAACCTATAGCACCAATACTATATAGCATTGTAAAATTTCTCAAATAATTAACCTTCTCCCAACAAGTCAAGTTATTAAGATCGGTTGGTTTACGACTATATGGTATCAAAGTTGGTTTGGCCAAACCAAGTAGTCATGTGTTTATAACAACTCGAATTATTGAAACCAGTTGATTTACGACATGATATCAAACTTGGTTTGACCAAGTAGTCATGTGTTTTAATCTCCACGACTCCCAATATATCTTTTTTGTTAATGGTGTCGACGAGACCACAAACCCCAATATTTACAGTTGATTTAAATACATTGTATCGTGGACCCGCGCAAAAATCTAACCCTAAGATCCAACTCAACCATTCAACAACTAGTGTTCAGTTGACCATATAAAATCACTCTAAGTCCTCAATTGATATATGTGATATTAAGTTAAAATTTGGATGTTAACAATAAATTAAGTGTTGCTGGAGGGAAAACGGGAGTGGTTCCGGTGCAAAACTTATGGGTGCATATCATGCATAATCCTATATTTACCATTTATGGGAAGACTACACTAACTTTCTCCCAATAAATATAACCGAACTATATATTTTCGTTTTAAGTAGAAATTAAAAAAATTACGTAGAAAATAAATTAATTGTGCTCTTCAAAATAACATCCATTTTGATGTATTTTAGAACAAAAAAACTCAACTTATACCACTAGTTACCATCCTATAACAGGTTGGTATATGGTGGTACTTTTTGTCTTAAATTTTTTTCCAAGAAATTTGTAGATCTAAATCTAATATATCAGGACAAACTCCTTCCTTCTGGCCAATTTTTCTCTTGAAATATATTTAAAATTGATATCACTTTATAGACACAATGAACTCATCCTATATGCGTAAAAAAATTCAAAATTCAAAATAGAACGAAGAAAATAAAAGTCGAATAAAAAAACAACATTCATTCTCATTCCTCAAATTTGACCCACTTGAAACTAAGAGTTCAAATTTGATTATCCACCATATTCACAACCCAAACAAATTATTGAAAACTGTAACAGTCCAGGGTATATAGCCCAAAAAACTTCAAATCTAGAATTCAGAATGGAATAGAAAAAACTGTTAACCAAAACATTTTTTATTAAAAAAAATCGCTTTCCTCATAGTCTCGCATATACTTGACTATGGAATCTTAGGTTTGACTACAGAAAAATTAATGTATCGGCTCGCCCCGTAATTATTGAAACCAATAATGTTCAATACCAATCATATATTTTGTCGTTTCCATTTCCATTATATGGTTTTCATAATTTGCTCAATGTATTCTTTTTTCTAGGGATGGCAAATCAGACCGCGCGGGCGGGTACCCGCCCGAAAACCGGCTGGGCGGACCAGTTTTTACCCGGGGTTGACGGGGATTTAACGGATTCGGGAAAACCAGTTATCCGTGGATAACGGACATCGGGCGGTGACGGAGTCCAGGCTATCCGCCCCGAGCCCGCCCCGAGCCATAAAAACGACGTCGTATTTTGAGCATATATATATATCCATCAGTCGAGCAGAGAAACCCTAATCCCTAATTGTCGCCGCTCTCTCTCAATCTCTCTTCTCCTCTCAGTTCTCTGCTCTCAATCGCCGCTCAAATCCATCGATTCGATTCCCCCCCCCCCCCCCCCCCCCCCCCGCGAAATTCTCTCCACCCAGGCTGTCAATCATTCATTATCCACCAATCAAAGCCTAATATACTCATCGATTTAGGCAAAGAACAACATGCAAAAGGAGAAGAATCAGAAGATGACTGTTCCAATCTTCGATTCGAGGTTATTGGGAGGATTTCTCGTCGATTATTGTTCCGATAATCCAGAACTCGAGATAAGTACCTTCCAATTCAATTCTTCTTTCTTGTTTAAGTTTCTTGCTTTAGTTTTAGGTTCGTTTAAATTAACTCGAGTCGATTGGTTCTTTCTAGGGCTCTTCTGTTTCATTTTCATCTGCACCTGGGACTGCATGCATGCTCTGATACTCGAGGTAATCCCTATTCCCTAATCAAATTTCCTTAGTCAGTTACTCAGTTAGTGTTTAGTAATTAGTAGTTTGTTGTATTGACTTTAACTCATTGGATTGTAATGTTTGTACTTTTGTTTGAGGTTTTGCAGTTTTGTATCAGGCATCAGCTCACCATCCACAACTCTGGACAATAGACCCCCTCTGTCCAGATTCGAGGTTAGTTTAAAAATTAAGGACATTTTACTTAATTTGGTTTGCATGTATTAGGAATTAGGGACTCGAGTTTCTGTTGATTGCTTGAGTGTTGGGTCTGCTCATCAATCATGTCTTGTTTAGTATAAGTATCTCATCTGCATGTTACAATTGAATCTAAAAGACTATAAATTTGAACCTAGAAATCTTATAGCTAAAGTCTAAAAAGTAACCAAGCAATCCTTTGATGTTATACTCGTTTATCTCAATGTCAGATGGAAGGTGCACCTGAAAATGTTGTCAATGCTCCTGTTCCTCCACAACCTGCCCCTGTTGATCAAAACAACCAACCTGAACAAGTTGGTAATGGTAACGGTAACTTGGCTAATGATAATTCTGAAGTGCTTGTTGAAGAATGCAAATTGACTTCTGATGTATGGCCTCATTACATTAGGGTTAAGGTTAATGGGGTTATTAAAGCTAAGTGCAAGTACTGTCGAAAAAACCTTGGTGGTGATACTCGTAATGGAACCTCGCACCTTAGGACTCATGTGAAAACCTGTATCCAAAAAAGGATACATGATGGTGCTCAAAAAATTCTTTGCCCTAATTACAAAGCAACTGGAAAACCCCAATTATCTGCTACACAGTTCAACTCTGATGTGTCTAGGAAGGAGCTGAGCTCAATGATTTTGGTCCATGAGTACCCTCTTAGCATTGTTGAACACTTGGGTTTCAAGCGTTTCTGTTGTTCTTTGCAACCACAGTTTACTGTGCCTTGTAGAAATACTGTGAAGAAAGATATATTGTCTTTGTATGGGGTTGAAAGGAGTAACTACCAAAAGGTTATTGATGGTAATTTGGGTAGAATTGCTGTGACCACTGATTTATGGACTGCCCCAAACCAGAAGAGGGGTTATATGGCAGTCACAGCTCACTTTATTGATAATACTTGGAAGCTAAGAAACTCAATGCTAAAGTTTTTGTATGTCCCTGCCCCTCATACGAGTGAGAGGCTTGCAAGAAAACTGTTTCAATGTCTTCTGAATTGGAACATTGATGGAAAGTTGTCTGCAATCACCTTGGACAACTGCTCCACTAATGATTCCATGATTGCTCACCTTAAGAATAAGCTTGTTTTGAATAACTTGTTGATGGATGGTAGACTGCTTCATATGAGGTGTTATGCTCATATACTGAACCTTATTGTGAAAGATGGTTTGGATGTGATAAAGGATGGAATCCATTTGATTAGGGAGAGTGTGGTGTATTGGACATCCACACCTAAGAGGGTCCAGACTTTCAATGAAGCTGTTAAACAGCTTAAGTTGGCTGTTGGGAAAAAACTTGTGCTTGATTGTCCAACAAGGTGGAATTCTACCTATGATATGCTCTCTATTGCTCTTCTGTACAGAGGTGTCTTTTTTCGTTTAAGACAGATGGATAGTCAATACCTATCAGCTCCTACTAATGAGCACTGGGATTTTGCTGCTATTGTGATTGATAAACTGCTCATTTTCAGTGAGATGACTGCATTATTTTCTGGTACCAAGTACCCCACTGCCAATCTGTTTTTCTCTAAGGTCTGTGATCTGCGTTTGAAATTGAGTGACTGGTGTGCTGATCTTAATCCTGTTATTTCTGCCATGGCTGGAAATATGTGGTTGAAATTCACAAAGTATTGGGATGATATACATCTTGTTCTGGCAGTTTCAGTGGTTCTGGATCCTAGGTACAAAATGCATGTCATTGAGTATTATGCTGCTAAGTTTGGCAGCTCTGATACTTACTTGGTGGCTAAGGATCTAAAACAGTTGATTTGTGGTTTGATTAATGATTATCAAACCAAGGCTGAAAAGAAATCTGGTTCTTCTGCCAATGAACCGATTGGAAATGCAAATGTCTCTGTTTCAGCAACTGATCTTGATTTCGAGTTGTTTGTTAGTCAGAGGAAAAAGAGCAAAACAACTCTGATTACTACTGAGTTGGACCATTATCTTGCTGAGGAACTTATTCCTCGTGATCCATCTGCTGAATTTGATCTCTTGATGTGGTGGAAGTTGAATGGCCTTAAGTATCCTACTTTGCAAGCAATTGCAAGGGACTTTTTGGCTATACCAATAACATCAGTTGCTTCCGAGAGTGCTTTCAGCTCTGGTGGGAGGTTGTTAGACCCCCACAGGAGCAGGCTCGATTATTCTACTGTGGAGGCCATGTTGTGCAGTCGTAGCTGGGTTAGGGAAGCCTGGCTAAGAGGTAACCTGCAATACCTTCGACTCGAGTGAGTTTTGGTTCATTTAAACAAGTGACTGAGTTAGTTTGTTCTATTTCTGCAGAATCAGAGGCTGCTGCTGCTGTGGAGGCAATGGATGGACTGTTTACTGGGCTGTCAGTTCACGATTCAAGTGTAGAAGATCAGGAAAATGGGGGTAAGTTAGTTGGTTTTTAGTTTTTAGTTGGTAAGTTATGGTTTATGAACTGCATAAAACAAATTTTTTTTTTATATTGATTGCAGTCCAGGAACTTCTGAATCTGGATTCACCATTCTCCTTTGATGACTGATTATTGGAACCTCAGAAGAGAAGGTATATAATACATTCAAATTGACTTTTCTCCTTTATTGTAAGCTTGTATCTGTTCCTTCATATTTTTGTTTTCTTGCAGGGGATGAATGTCAATTTGTCATGACTCATGTGCTGCTTGACTGCTTCTGTTCTTCAAATCTGGTTGCTGCCTTGCTGGTGCCTTTGAGAGTTTGGCTTACTGCCTTTGAGACTTGAGAGTTTGAGTTTGAGTGTGCTTTATTTGTTCCAAATTTGAACAATGGATTGGTGTGTGGCTTACTGCCTTTGAGAGTTTGAGTTTGAGAGTGCTTTACTTGTTTTCTTTTTTGCTACTTTTAGACAGTTGATGAACTCTTGAAAATTCAGAGTTCTGGGTGGTGGGTGGGTTGCAGCCTTATAGGCTTTATGTTAAGCTACTTTTGAGTTTTGAGCACTGCTCAACTTTGAATTTGAATTGAATTATGTTTTTCCAGTTATTTTATTGTTTCAATATGTCAATTTTTTTAGGGTTTGTAGCGGGTAACGGGGACCCGTGGATTCCCCGTATCCGTGGATTAACGGTGACGGTATCAAATTTGGCCCCGTTGAATGGCCGGGGACGGGGTCGGGGAAACCCGATACTGTTCACGGACGGGGAACGGATGGTATGAATCCGTCCCCGATCCGCCCCGTTGCCAACCCTACTTTTTTCTTTGGAACAAAATATCAATGTATTCAATGTCACATAATACAACAAATCTTAGTCTAGACAGCATCAAGCCATCATTTTAGTTGGCCTCATTGTTTGACAAGTGTGCCATCTTCAAATTAGTTGGTTATTCTCTATTATGCTTTTCAAATAAATCAGTTTTCTCATTGAGTTGGTATATATATGTCCAAATCAATATTATACTCTCATCTTTTACTGAAAAAACATAGTACAGCACACTAGTTCGCATTTCTTTCTTCATTCCCCAAGGAATTTTTTTGCTAAATTCATTTTCAACAACAAAAAATGGCAAAAAACTTGGTAAAACAAATCCAAATACAATTCACTTTATTTCAATTACAAAATGTTAGCTAATATTAATAACACTACTATTACTAATAAAGGCAATTACTAAACATCTGTGTAATGTCTATTATTTATTGTGATATAAATTATAAATATTTAATTATATCTTGTAAAAAATGTCAATTTTCTCATGAACCAGTGAGGTTGGCTTCATTGATTGAAAATTTCCTTTAACAGGGACAATTAATATGATTGAATAAACTTTATTTAATGCAGACAATTAATTCTAATTAACTTCACTTACAGTTTTTAAAGGTTTTATTTCTGTAGCTTTTACAAATTATTCATATTTCCTAACAAAACGGTTTGCCTAATAACTCCTTTCGATATGCCCGTTTATTGGGGGATCCGACCAAGTATTTAGGGATCCTTAAATGGGCGTCATGCTAGAGGAGCGCCATGAGGAGGCTTGAGAAGCTCTTTGCATAATCCTGACTGGCAAACCCACTCGAGTGACTTAACCTATGTCGATACGAGTCCTCAAGATCTTTTTTATCATATGCTCTTTGTGAGTCGACCTCCTGATCCGGTCTGGGTCGTGTGAACCAACACTCTTGGTCCGACCCAGTGAGTGTGAACGATGACTCTTGAGCTTGTTATTTTCACCGCAACAATTGGTTCTTGACATAGTGTTAAAGTTAGGACGTTCAGCGCTAGAGGGAGCACGTAAGAGAATAATATAAAACCATCATATCATGCATGAACGCGTTCCTACAACTCGAGTTATTGGAATGCATTAGTTCTGGAGATTGTCGTACGCGTTGAGGCATACGTAGGTAGGCTCATTTTGATTTGTACATGATAAACTCTTGATGACCTGTTTTGGCAAACAAGGACATTGTCTAGCAATTCTGTTTTGCTCGTCGTCAATTTGAGAGTCTCATATTCGAATTCTTTAGGTAGCACACAACAATAAAAAGTAAATCGATATCACCCTCGTAAAAGAACCTTTCACCTATGCTTTGATACTAACTGCTTAAGCAGGAAAGGAGAAGCTTTACACATGTTAATGTGACGCGATCTCCGATAAGGTCGGTTACGAGAAATACCGTCGCCGCTGCTGCTGCTGGCTGGGGGTTGCACTTGGCCGGCTCTTCAATCTTCTTCACATATCATATTCCGATTTGGTAATTGAATATAGGTAAAGTATGATCATGGGGCCGCGGCTAGTTTCTATTAATTAATTAATAATATATAAACATGAATTGTTTTCTGGGTTTTGAATTATCGAGATCGATGTAGTTGTTTCGTGGCCTATTATTACAATTTATTAAATCGTGCTTTTGGGGGAAATGGGGGTTAAATAAGTAGTAGGTAACTAAAGAGGTGGAGTCTATGGATTTGTGCATATAGATAGGGAGCTAGATTCACTTAATTGGATTCTCGATCTATATGAAGCTAGGGATGGCAACAAAATCCGAACCCACGGGTACCCACCCAACCCGGTCAACACGGGTAAAATCCGTGTTGATGGGTTTTGGGTCGGGTTTGGATTTAAACCCGTTCACTATTCACCGGGTTGAGTTGAGTTTGGGTTTAGGTAAACCCGGCCCGTGGGTACCCGCCCACCCATATAATTAATTTTTTGCGGTATATTTAATATTCTAAACAACTAATCTTATTTATGTTTGTGGAGACATGTCTAATTTTTTCTTTTTAATTGTGTAGAATGAAGTTGATGGAGTGGAGAGTAAAGAAACTTAATTGAAAGGAAGAAGCTTTCAATTAAACATGTTATTTATGGATAATTTGTGATTTGCTTCAATTTTCTTGAGTTTTCTAGATTGGTGTTGAACAATTTGCATAGTTAATTTGTGATTTGCTTGAATTTTCTAGAATGGTGTTTTATATATGGATAATTTGTATTGAGAGATTGATATTTGACTTTAATTTTGATAAGAACTTGTAATTGTAAATTTTTTACGACAAAACCCGTGGGTACCCATGAACCCGCGGATACCCAACAGGTTGGGTTGGGTTTGAGTTTTTCAAACCCAGTGGGTTTTACCCTGGGTTTTTTTCAAAGATAAACCCATGGGTTTGGGTTTGGCAAAACCCGACCCAACCCGACCCATTGCCATCCCTATATGAAGCTGACATGACAATGATCAAGCCTATATTTTACCACCATGTCGCTTCTACGGTGCCAATGAGTGCATATATACTATTAGCGTGTTGAAATGGAGTGAGTTATCGTGGTAATTATTTTAACGGATGGTATTCGGATAATTTGGTTTGGTTTATATGGATAATTCTTTTGGTTAGGTTAAACTTTTAGTTTGTACGGTTCGGTTCGGTTTGGTTTCACACATTCCTAAGTCCTAACCAACTAAACCAATTAATAAGTTAAGCAGTGAATCATATTTCTAACATTAAATATATTATTTATACATATTTTGCATAAACACTCAGAAGTTGGGTGCTTCTCACTTTTAGACACATTAATGAATGTTATATTTTATTCATTATATAAATTATGGAATGATGCATTAACATGAGATTTTTCTCACGTAATGAAATGTTGTGTATATTGGTTAGCCTAGTTAATCAATTAACCAAACTAATATTTGTTGTGTTATATTGGTTGACCCAGTTAATCAATTAACCAACCCAATTAAATATTTGTTTGGTTAATTTGTTTGTTGTATTAGTTTGGACGGTTTGGTTATGATATTATATTTCACGGGTAACAGATTTTTGGATTATTTGATTTGATAATTAACATAATAATCATTTGAACACCCCTATATACTATGCATCTTAATTAAAAAGTAGCCGTTAATCACCAAATTAAAAAACTTAACTACTAACATTTGTATAGTATGATGATGAAACACAAAAGTACAACTAATCCATCCATTACCCTAATAGCTAAATCCTAAACTATGAACCATAAATTAAAATTTTCAAAACCTTTTAATACATGTAAATGGTTTTTTTTTTTTTTGCGATTTTTGGGATCTTTTGGTTTCTCCAATTTTTAAATTAATGTATTGTGATCAATCATGTATTATAGGGATTTCTTACAATCTTTAAGGTAATTTAATTTTTTTTACTTGTTTTAGCAGGTTTCAGAAGTTGCATCATGTAAAATACAATATAAATTATGTGATGGTTATGCAGAATACAATAGGTATTATTTTCATCACGGTTGCATCTTGTTGTATTTGGCTTGTAAGAAGTCTCATTTTACCAATTCACTTATTAATAATATATGTCACCATCACATAATGCCTATTGTATTTTACATAATTCCTTCATACAAGCCAGAAAATAATGGAACAATCAGCTAACAATTTAAAAACTAAGATGGTATAATCAATCATTTTGAATGATTGCTTCTATCAAATTAAGCAAACAATATATTATCTATACATAAAACTATGAAATGATGAATTATAAACAACACAAAGCATTGCAATAATCCTATACCTAAACAATCCCAAAACCAAATGATCCTTTATTTTTCTTGTTCATTGAGATCTTCTTGACGTGAATCACATCATCAGTTGATAGATTAAAAGCTGGTGCATGTTACAATATGCATCGAAGGAACTTCTCCGGTTCTACAGCCAAAACAAATGGCAATTAAACAATGGTATTTGAAGGGAGGGAGATATAACTGCCCCACCCTCTCTTCCCATAACGGTAATAACTGAAAGGAGAATGATGAGAGCACCACAATCATTAGACAATAATAATGTGGTGGAGAGAGTGGTTGTTTTTGTTAATATGATTACATATTTCTGGTCAGTTCTCAGTCAAAGGGAATATGAGGAAGAGATGAGATGAGAGAATCCTGCGACTGTGAAATTGAATGGGAAATCATGGCATTACCCACCATGTGACCCCACATGAATGAATATTGCTTCACTCAGACAGAGCAGCTTCTGCCTTCTAGAGAGAGAGAGAGAGAGAGAGATTTTGTTTGTTTTTTGGGGGTTGGTTTTGTCGAAAGGTATCAAACAGGTCTTATATTATTAGGCTCTCTATCTACTCCAGGGGGCTTGATCTGACTAAGATATCATAGTCAAAATTCAGGTTCTTAATTGAAAGTGGTAGTTATAGCCTATAGGTTCTTCTTGGCATGTGCATTCTCTGCTAACATTCCCAATACCTCTTATTCGAACCGCTTACCCTAACCGGCCCTAATCGATATGAATGATGTTGAAACGTAAGCAAATTTCCAAAATATTCTGAAAATGTATCACTTGCATCTATCCGATCACTATGCAAATT